TATTCACATGGTTGCAGTTATCTCTTTTTCTTCACATTATACCTACAGAAAAGGGAGGGCAGCTGTTAAAAGACCTATTGAGAAGTTATTTTCAGAAGCACCTGATGGCCAGATCCTTATCTAGTTGCTCAACACTATTGAATACCCACTGGGTGTCAATTGTCATATACCCCAGATGGGCTTCCAGATTTGCTGTTAAACTATTTTAGTTCTCTGCCCTCTGCCTGAACTGCTCAAGTCCTAGCAGCACTAACAAGTCAAAGTAGTGTTTCCAGCCTCTGGTATGGAGTGCCTGGGAGAACTCAAAGGTCCTCTTTGAGACCCTGGAAGGCCTAGAGAGCCTCAGGCAATGTGGAACTAGATCCTCTCTACCCCAAGCTCTAAGAACAGGGGCTCTTATTTTGGAGGGGGAATTTCACCTGCTAGCAAGCACTCCTGAGGAGCCTCCGAGCAGTTCTCAGGGAAGTGCTGTTAAACCTCTGCTCTCCTCATTAGAAATCTTAAGGCTGAATCTCAAGCTGACCTTGTTTCGAGTCTAACCTAGATGCAAGAGAAAAATGGAACCTCCCTTTCTCTCCTCATCCTAGGCCATATCTCTTTGAATAAAATACCCCTGAGGCAGATGCAGGAACACCAGGGGTAATCTCAAGATTCACAAAGATGAACCATATCGCCAACATTCCCTTGGTTCCTAGGAGACCAAATGGTCATGGCATCCAGTTCTCATTATCTCTGTATTACTAGTGGAGAAACTGAGACACAGAAAAGTAAAGATCTTTTCTATGATAGTGTCAGAAGCCAGCCTCACAGAAGTCATTTCTTCTAATTTCTGGGTTCCATGAACTAACCAGGTCCCCTCACTCATCACAGCACTGAGAATATGCTTTAGTTAGCAAAACAGGAAAGCTGAATTTGTTAAATCTACCTAATGGCATTTAACTAGATCTGAAATAGTAGTCATTCATTCAATACTTACTGATTGCATTTTACTGGCACTGGTACATAACAAAATGACTATGACATAAATACAAATACTTGCAAAACAAACAAAATGGAATGGGATGAGCCTCCTCACCATATGATTTGTCCAAATGACTTCTGAAAATAGGTAGCATGTGTAAGTTATTTTATAATTCATTCAGGTATCCATCGCTAAGCCCCCACCCCAAACAGAAACTGGGATAATCAGGTTAACTCAGCACTCTCAGCATGCCCCCCAAATGTCAAAAATATCTTTCTGAAGCTATTCCCTCTGCTTGTGGACAAATTCTAAATGCTTTCTTCATTCTTAGCACAAAGAATGTTCTAATATTCCGAGGCAAGTAAAAATACCACAATTCCAAAATTTTGTCTCTGGATGTATAAGTAGACGGCAAGAAATTAATGTAGAGTTTTGCATGCTCTCCTGTGTTTTTACACTTTTTTATGGGCTATTTGTCAACATTTACTCCTAGCTCCTGAACCGCCCCAAGTTCTGCAGGAGCTCCAGCCTGTCACTGTGCAGTCTGGCAAGCCGGCCCGCTTCTGTGCCGTGATATCCGGCAGACCACAGCCCAAAATTTCCTGGTACAAGGAAGAGCAGCTGCTTTCCACTGGCTTCAAGTGCAAATTTCTTCATGATGGGCAAGAGTACACGCTTTTGCTAATTGAAGCCTTCCCAGAGGATGCGGCAGTCTATACCTGTGAAGCCAAGAATGACTATGGAGTTGCCACAACATCAGCTTCACTCTCAGTGGAAGGTGGGAATGCCTTGCTACTTCCAGCTGAAAATAAAACCTAAGAAATGGCTTTTGTCCTTTCCCAGTGCATTTAAAAATACAATTTGGAGCTCATAAAAGTAGAAAGCACTCTACTGTGAAATAAATTAAGATAAACCTACATGCTCCCTTCTGTGAGGTCTCTATGGTGACTTAATCATGACAAATCTTGTGATTTCTTTCTTTAGTTCCAGAAATTGTGTCTCCCGATCAGGAAATGCCAGTTTATCCACCTGCCATCATCACCCCGCTTCAGGACACTGTCACTTCTGAAGGGCAGCCAGCCCGTTTTCAATGCCGGGTTTCTGGAACAGGTAGGTTTAAGAACAAAAGGTATCATTGCTAATACTTACAAAGAATTATATGGGAAAAACATTCTGTCACCTTCTCCTCTATCACAAACATCTCTCATGCATAATTTGAAGCTTAATGGAAATCTAGCAGAAAACTTATTTCAATTATTAAATTAAGAATTAGGTAAGTGTTTTTCACTATTCTGTGCCCTAAAAATGGTTATTTATGTTATGTTATGTGTTCTTTATCACAGTAAAAGAATCACATTAGTGTTTTTTACTAATCTTTAAAAAAGGTCATGTTCCCTTTATGATTGTAGCTACACTTAATTTCCTAATTGATAAAATACAATGACAACACTAAAATTATCATTAGATTAATCATAATAGCATCTACATATATTTCAAAAGAATAATACATTTATATAAGATATTATTCAGTCTATGGAAAATGCTTGTGTGAAAGGTATCCTTTGGAAGACAATATCCTATAGTGGTCAGAAGTCGGGGCTTTATGGTCAAAGATGCTGAATTTGAATCTTGCCTTCAATATGTGACCTTAGGCAAATATATCATTTCTCTGGTTCTCTTTCTCTCATGAATACATTGAGTAAACTATTGCATTCAATTCTAGAAAATATATTTTATAAGGCTAGGAATTCTGTTTTAGTACCTAGAATTTGGCATCTGAAAAATAGTACCTGGTAGAAGGTAAGCTCTATGAAAACAAGAGTGGATCGTTGCCCTAGAATATCACCTGATACATAGTAGATACTCCATAGGTAATTGTTGACTGGACAAATTAATGATGGTTAAATGACTGTTACCAAACACTTAAGATTATTATCAAGATTAAGTTAGGTAACTCAAGTCAGCACATAGCACAGTGCCCATCATAGAGTAATCAATGAGAGTCAGCTGCCACCATTTTTAATTGGGGCATGCTTCTCAAGTACCACCAGCCGCTTTCCTCATCCCAGGAATCTGACCTTGGTAGAATGAGACAATATATGTAGAACCACTTCAAGTCATAATTGATTGTCTGTAATCACAATTGATAGATATCTTGTCTCAGATAGAAACAAGATAAATCAAATGAATGTATGATCCCTTTATCCCAAATGAAAATCACTCTCTAATTTTCTTGGCTTTTGTATACCACCAGCCAAAGGGAAACTCTCAAAGCTTGGGCATCTCCCAGTACTTTTAATAGGCTGATGCAAAAGTAATTGCAAAGTTGTATTGTTTTGTTTATTGTGCTTCTCCCATTAGTTTATAATCCAATATCTACCTTGTCAAGATTTATTTTTCTGAACAGGTTAGTACTTCAGTTGGTCTTCTGACCTGATTATTTCCTCCTCAGAAATGGAGATTGTGATCTAGAAATCCAATAGACCTATTTGATTGTATGAGCATAATTAAAAGATATAATGTATGTAAAGCACCTATAGCCATGGCTGCCAAATAACTGGGGTCAATACATTCATTTTATTATAGCCATAGAGAGGAATTATATAAACATCAATGTATTGGGTGACCAGTATGGACAAATACCATGGACTGTATACTTGAGGGATAGTGTTCAAGAAATACTAAATATTAATAAATGAAGACTGATTTGATAATATCCTACTAACACAATAATAAAAATATATTTTAAAAGCAAATTCACTAAAGCTACACTAAATACATTATCCATTTATTTAATTTTTAGAGGAATTTTTTAAATATAAACATATATATACATCATTCAAAGTAGTAATATTTGTCTTAACTATATTGGTATAGTGCTTTTAAGTCTATAACATATTAACATATGGTAGTATTGCCTTTAAAGTGTTGCAGAAATACACCTGAAGCACTCTACAAGACACCAATTGGGGTAGAAAGAGAAAAACTTCACTATCTTTTCTGCATAACCAATGTTTTTAAAGTTTGAATAGGCTTTGTAAACTCAGAAGATCATTAACGTCCTATGTGTGGTAATATTTATACACATATAGTGGTTTTAGCACCCTCTTGTAAATTTGTTTTCCATATGAAAGAAATTAAATTCATTAAATAAAATGCTCTTTCAAAAACTCACCAACTCACAGAGTTTCATGCCACTGGAACTAAAAATATTTACACAACTTCCTCTGGCCACGTATTGCCTTAAGTAAGTGTAGGCCTGCTTTCCACAAATTGAAAAGAAATTGGGAGTCTTCAGAAGCCCCTTTTCCATGCTTTTTGGCGATGCAGTACTTTCTGAAGCATGAAACGTGGGCCTGAGCAACCAGGGGCTGTTTCTAACAGTGAAAATGTTACCTATTGAAGGTCTCCAGTGCCACCTACTGGTAGAGGAGCAATTTGGAAAAGCAGAATCTTAAAACGTAAAAAAGCTAGTTTTTTGCTGTTTATTCTACAGATGATGAGTCAGTGTCATTTGGAGGGTTACAGAGTGACAGCTAGCTAAACAAAATGGTGAATAATTAATCTAGCACTGATGTTGTCTGTTATTCATTTAAGCATCTGTGCAATTTTTATTCTACCATTTATTGTTTCCCTGCTATTGAGACATTACCTTAGGTGCTGGGGTGCAGATCTTGCTCTTGCTTTAAGGAGCTCAATATGTAGGTGAGGAGATGCATGCACACAACTAGATCCCAAGGTTTTAAGTGCTATTAACAGGCCCACTTCCTCATCATTCTCTGTCTGGGAGAGAGCCAGAGAAAGATGTGTGAACTGAGCATTGAAAAATAAGTAGGATCATCGAACACAGTGGGATCTTATGATGAGAAAACAACATCTCCAAGTCATCAAAACTTGCAATAATGCGTCGTGTGTTAGAAGCGAGTGGTTTAAGTACAGTTGGTTTAAGTGATATCATGAGCAGGTGAGAAGACTGGATAATACGGCAAAGCCCGTGCTAAAGTTTTTGATATTCTATGCTGAAGATTTTGGAATTGATCTTGTTTACATTTAGGAGACACTGAAGGATTTTTAAGCCCCCAGGTACCATGATCAGGTTTGCTTTTTAGAAACGATACTGTGATAGGGAAAGAAGGAATGGACAGATGTGGGAGGCAAGACTGGCAGTCAGGAACTCGGGAGAGGTTATTACAATAGGCCTGGAGAGTGTGGACTAGGACTTCAGCCAGAGGAGGCAGGAGAGAGAAGGGAGGGATTGTAGAAGTAGTAATATGGGAGAAGAATGGCCTCAAAGAAGCCGCAAGAGGCTTATGACTAACGCAGATCATGGCATCACAGTCACAAGCACCAAGTCCACTACCACGAAAGGTTTCACCTGTTAACTCACTTACTGCATGCAGTTCTCGTCCAGTGGCAGTTCATGTGTATCCTGATGCCTCATTCAGCTCACCAAAGGAAGAAGCTGTCAGTAGAAATAAGCAGAGAACCTTGTAAGAGGATGTACCAAACTATTCATCCTTCCCTTGCCATTGATGATC